TCGAGCAGAACCACACCTCAAGGCCACTCATAGATTTATCGGAAAAGTGGCGGATAATTTCAAGGCTGACGTCAACATACCCTTCACCTACAGGAACAATGTGGCCATGATCCTCAAGAGGGTGCACGGTGGCATTCCTGATGAGGCGCAAGCGGAGGACATCAAGCATCACTTCTCCCATACAATTCTTCGCCACGCGTGTAACTTTAAGGGATTATGTCGCTGTTGTCCATGTTGCGTGAAGATCACCTCTGCCACGATCATTCGATGCCTTCCTTGCGACGCCCAAAAGGTGTCTTCTGGAAGATTCATGGATCATTTCAGAGCTGTCTGGGGACTCCCCGCGCTCTGGATTCCAAAGTCAGAATTACTGTACTATCGGTGAGGATGTGGATATTGTCAACCCTGCCGAGAAAATTACCGCCAATGATGATCAGGCAAACGACGAGCTTGAGCTCACTGAGCAGGAGGCGTCGGTCATCAACGTCGAAGAGATCCCTGACTCTCACTCAGACTCTCGAAGTGGGGGAAGACGCGTGTGGAGAGCGCGAGGACTATTGGAAGGGTTCATGGGGATGGAAGAAAAGCACACCCGGCTGTGGGCGCGCAAGAACCAGTATGACCCGAAGAACTCCTCTCTGCTGTTTTGCGACATTTGGGCCACTGCTATGAGGTCATCCCAACGCAGACGCACATTTGGAGCATCTTACTCTGGGCATACGCGACAATGAATGTCAATGAGTTCTCGTCTCCGTTGACTGCCGTTAACGCTGCTTGCTACAGGAGGACTCGACCAAATCAGGGCGCCGGCCAACGCAGTCTCCTCAGCTCTATAGATTGACACTTTTGCCTTCCAACGCTCTTGGCTTCAAGAAGTTTCGTTATGTGGCTTGTCGATGTATGCCGAGTGAAGTAGGCAGGGATGGAGTTTTCCATATCTGCGTTGAAGGGCTCTACGAAAGCCAATCGCTTCATCACGGAGCAAATGGGCATGCAGAAAGAATTCCGCGGCTTGTGTCAAAAGCGTTTCACAAACGTGATGAATGGTCAAATTCACGATCGAGAGAAGAAAGAGAATGTGCAGTGTTGGGAGTAATTAAAGAGTGCATGAAGACGTGTTTTCCTTCATGCGCTCCTTACTTTGCTGGCTGTCCTTCCTCCCCGCTAACTTCTAGGACTGACCCCTGTGCAGCCTTGCTCAGGTCGTACGCTCAAGTCCTATCTTGTACTGGCCTTCAGCAAGAGCATGCGAACGTTGTGAATTGTGACATGGCTTGACCAAGTTACTCTCTTAATGTGCTAGGGGAATTGCCAGCTCCTTCACTGCTTGACTTTACGTGCGCCTGACAAAAGAGGATTCTGCGTCCGTCCCCTGTGCGACTTGTGTGTCTAATCCCAACAAAGTGCTTTTATCCTTGCGTGGCATTTTGATGAACCTCTTCCTGAAGAGGAGCCTGCGAGATCTCGCCAATGTTGATGCCACAACATGCTACAGAGTGGACTTCAGCCCTCTTTAGGATGGCTATGACGGCTATGATGAACTCCTTGCAAAGCTGGACTTCACAGTACCGACTGATGGGGCCAAATGATGAATGCGCTGTCTGTGAGTGTCAGAAATGGGGACACCATCTTATCAGATTGGAGCCGTGGGTGCATTGCAGCGAAACCCCTTGCTTGCTGTGGTTAATAACTGTGCTTGCGTGTGCGTGCGCTTTGTGTGAACAGGTCGCTGTGGAGGAAACATGCCCCGTTGCATCTGTTACGAAGTTGTTGCACATTGGAATTGCGCATAGCGCTTGTTTGACGGGACATGAGCGAGTCTCACAACGCTGTAGTGATCTGAATACCAGATCCTTTCCACAAGGATGTACTTGCCAATTACACCCCAGCGTTTGGTCTTGATGCGAAGGATGATTCAAATAGGAGACAAAGGTACATGCGATACTCTCTTTTCCAATCGCCACTGTGGTGTGTTATGGATACATTTCTAGTGTTCTAGGGTCTTCCCTGACACACGGTGAGAGAGCCTGGCCAAGTCTCACAGTTGCGCCCTAGGGCCTCCCTGCGCTTTAGTCCGAGTTGCGCGCTACCTTGTACACTTTGAAGTTGTGTGGTGTGAAAGTCCAAGCTCCTGTAGGTTCGTCTCACGCAACAAGTTGCAAATCGACGTGGGGGGTGTAAAAGCTTAGAACCTTCACCCTTACCCACTCCTTTCGCAGTGTAGGGTAGGTGCGTTGTGACAATTTGTTACTTCAATGCATATTTTGGCTCAAGTAGCCCTTCTTAGCTAAGCTGGCAGTGAACCGTCATATAGCAAAGCCTGATTGCTTGGGGAGACTTGAGCTTGACGACCCGAAAACATTGGTGTGCGCTGGGTGGGTTCCAAGTTGCGAAGAACATACATACATACATATTGCCACCCAGTCACCCTTCTACAGTTTTTGCCTGGTTCTCTGCCGGAGCGCGCTCCCGCCTTTCCCTGCCTCTATCCCACGGTTGTGCGCAGTTCACTCACACACGTTGGGCCCTTAACGTGTCCAAGGGTTGCTCCTTTGCAAAAACAATTTAAGCAGGGCGCGCACGTTTGCATGTGTTGCCCCACCCGTCACAGCCTCCTTCAGCGCAAAACTTACAGGACCAACGAATGATTATCAATTTGTGATGACCCCCTCTACCAGTGAGAGCACGTAGACCTGCGCCAGGGAATGCTTAGGCCAAGGAGCGACGTGTGATCGCTTCGCCGAGTTGCAATTTGTTCTGGATTTGAAAGCATTTTTTTTAAAATCTGTCCGTGATTTTTGCTTACTCATCGAGCACAGTCTTCATCCCGGCAAAAATTTGCACCCTTTACTTCTGAAACGACGCAGTTTCAGGCACACTGGTTTGCGTCTTGTGTGGAAATTGCGCGGGCCAAAAAGTTTCCACCACTGAGAGACGCAAGTTTGACCATATTCCAAATTATCCACACAACGATGGGTCCAACGGATTACACTTGCTATTGGGGGTCTTTGCCGGTATTGATTTCATGCCGTTGCTTGGCAGTACATCATGTTCCCAAATGTGTTGCAATTCCGCATTCACATGTCAACATTTCATGTGTAGTTTGTGATCTTGCCAAAATCTTACGCAATTCATTCAGGGTGGGGAGCCTAAGGCCTTTCAAAGCCCGGAAGTTGCAACACTTGAATTTAACTTCGACCGACCAGCCTCATATCGACATGAAGGCACAGAAAGCCTTGCACGTGTTGTAAGATTGTCAAAAGATATCCATGTTGATGTCATTTCATTGGTCCATGCAAGAAAAGAGATTGAAATCGCGAGCCCATGCTTCAAGCTGGCAACCCCAAACATGATCATCTCAAAGCCCCGTAAATCCACCTACACCAACTGCAAGCCTATACCGCCTCCCTTGCTTCAACGACAATGATCAGAAGAAGCGCCATCCTACAGCGGAACGGGCAATCTTGGTATGGTTTGCAGTCTCAAACTTACAAGTGCGCCATGGCAGAGACAACTATGCTAGCCATGAACTCCACGTTGGAACATTGCAACCACAAGTTAATTTGTTTCGCGACCAGTACCTGTTCGTTGAGCACCTACCCTTTGAAATGGAAATGCATCAATTAATATCTTGAATTGCCATGACCATATCCTAAGCCCTAGAAATAAAGATTTACCTGCATAATTTTGAGCTTGCACCGGGCGCAATCGCATAGTATAATCAAACATGATACACAAACTGTTACATCGCTTCGTTGGCCATGGCCCGCCGCCCCATGGCGACCGGCCAGGTGGCCTCTGAAAGGCCCAAGCTGAGCTGCACAAGGTGTTTGACGTGTGTTTGGTGCATTTTCGGTCGCAAGGGCTGCAGCCAGATTCTCGCACCAGGTGGAATGGCTTTTTGAGTTGTAATCTACCGGCTGACTTGTTCATTTCGCTGTTTTGCCAAACGCTCACGAAACATGGAAGATGTACTCAGTTGTGTCATTGTATCATTGTGTCCCTGCTTGCATCCTTGGGCTCGAACAAAATCAGCACTCACATGTGTACCAAACAAGCGGAAAAGGCCCCCAATTCAAAGAAGCAGGGCCACAACCATCTGGCAAAGTCACGGGTGCAGCGCACCAGAATTGGCGGAAGAGTGTGATCAGCGTCAACACTGATCTCGACGCAAGCGCAACAACTCCGACGAAAGCTCCGCTGGCATTGCCCCAGGGATGATTCGGGAGATTCTGAGATTCAAGAGAGTCCAAAGATTCGATGGATTCACGACCTTCTGGGGTGCATCTTGCAACTTGGAATGAGATGTATATGTGTGGTTATGCTATAGTGCCTGGAAGACTTCTTTTTTGCCTGCCCAACTATCACCGAGTTGTGTTTCCAAGATTCCCACGGCCATTATGCAGGATCAGTTCGCGCAGGTTCGAGGTAAGCTGGTGTCGGCTGAGTTGGCAATGTCCCGTGGACAGCGCATGCGCAAGAACTTGCAACATAAACAAGGTGTAGCTGAGGAGAAGCTAAAACAGCTTGAAGCAGGGACTTGGGTAAGTCATTGACATAGTATTTGTTGGGCTTTTTCCAAAGCCTCTTACTGAGCCACAAAGTTACGTAGGCTTGACTTCACTGTAGGGTTGACCTGCTCTCCGAGCATGCGAGGGTTTCTGCGGAGGAGGGCAAGAGACGCTCCACCAGCCGTGGTGCATTCTGGCAGCATGAGTTGGATGGCCGTTGGCATGCCTTCCCATTGGAGGGCAGCAAGCAGATGCACTGCGCATGTCACAAAGCAACCATTGCTGGTAGAGTTGTACGAGAGGTTGTCTTCTGGCAAATGACCGCGAGAAATGCAGCCACCAAGAGACTGTGCAAGATTCGTATTTGCATGGGAAAACTTGCACAAGGGGACAGTGTCCCAGCAACTCCGTTGACTCAGAGTGACGATGTGCAGTCCATCTATGTTGCGTTAGCAGCTTCAAATCTGTTTGATTGGATAACTCAAGCCCATGTTTTTGATGCAGCGAGCGAGGGCCAAGTCAGCTCATGGAATTCAGAAGCTTTCGGCTTTGGCATCGGTTCCAGGCCAAGCTTGCAGCATGAGGAAGGATCGCACATTCTTTGCGGAGCCCGGCCTCGAACCGGATGGACAAGAAGGGCTCATGACCATGAGCCAGCCCGTTTTCAACTGCGGGGAGCCACTAGCCGCTGACGTGCACAAGAAAATCCTACTGCATGGCAACTCTTCGGAGAATGCGGATGCCATCGCGGCATCTGGCGATGCCTATAGTGCGTCTGAAACATGGGAGGTAGCTCATAGGCCTCCAAATTGCATGGGGCCAGCAGGCACTCATGGCTCTGTTGTTGTGAATCCTTTTTCGAGTTGTTGAGCAGCACGACCTGAATCAAATTCACCAAGAAGTTGTGATATTCGAACCGGAGCAGGCGGGCGGACCCAGCTTTTGTTGTCCAGTATGTGCTCTGACGCCTTCCAGCCGCCATCAGTTGGATGATGATTGTCATTCATCCTTGCTGAAGGCTTCCTTGCCAACAAGCAATTCTTCCTGGGAGCCAAAATGCGGAACGTTAGCTAGGTCTGGGCCCTTAAGTGCATGACAGGATTACTTTGAGCAATCTCCTACTACTGAACGCTGTGTTCACCTCATGCAAGTCGTCAAAGACGGATTCCGGTGACCGCAAAAACATGAATTTATCTTACCTTGGAGGGCAACAGCGTACATTGTGGCACAACCCTCTTCAGTGGGAGTGCCTCACCCAAAGTTTTCAGCAGTCTATGAGTTTTGGGCTGAGCGAGTAGAAGGGACTCTGCCTGGTATGGTAGTTTGCATGGCTGAAATGCCCATTGCCGGGAAGCACAGGTTTGAGAATGTAGTATGTCTATGAGAAAAGTTTCTGAGTGTTTCGCGGGTTTGCTCTTCCCATAGTTGGAGTCCAGCCTTCGGAAGCTGAGGGGAGCCTTAGCGTTCGCCAGTGTTTTCTTCTTCTCCTTTGGTAAGAAGGATTCTGGCCTGCCGCACAGAGTTCCAGGGTGCAGGATGCAGGATTGAAATATAGCTGCTTGAAAGCATTAACGTACCAGTGTTGCACTTGGGTGCGTCACCAAGGCTTCAAGTTGGGCAGGTGCCGTGCAGGGATTGGGAAAGATTCCGACAAATCGCATCTGCACGTTTCCTCCAGATGTTAATTGACAGTCTGAACTGACAAGCCGCTAAGTAAGTCATTGGATGCCACAGCATGCCATCTCAAATAGCCGCCAGAGCGGCCGGAGGCTAAAACCATGACACTGCCGACCTAACACTCCCGCCTGCAATCCAAAGTTCTGAAAGATCTCCGCAGGTGGATGCATTATTTGGAGTCGGACTCTGCTGTTCATGTTGAGGCGCTGTGAGCTAGGCTTTGTTGAGAGCATCCCTCGATCGCTCTGCTGGTGATTGTTCGGAATTGTTTGGGGATATTGATATGTGGTGTTCACAGGTGTAATTTTTAACGATGACAGTGCTGCAGACAACCAAGCGGACCAAGCGCTAAGCAACCATGTCTGGACGTTTGTATTGGTCTGAAGGGTTCATGCTGTGGGGCCAGCGCTTGCCGTCCAGCTCCTTCTGTGCAAAACAGTTGGAATATTGGTGTAGAGGGCAGAGCATCGCACAAACTGGATTTCTTCCTGGCAATCACAATTATAGTGGGCAGAGTAGTACAAAGTACAAGAACCAGTTGCCAGCACGTACTTGTGCTCAGTGTGCTCCTGTCATTGCAATGTTCGGCCTGCACTCAAGACCTGTTTTGTTTGTAAGCCTGTTGTGAGCTTGCTCCTTGACATAATCCTAGAGTGTTTGAGTTTGGTGCACACAAATACACAGAAGGGCAACCTGTATGTGGCCTTGCACGGCGCTCCTTCCAGCAGACTCTGGCCCCTTCTTCCCAAATCCAAGCCATGTTCTGGTCCCCGGAAGCAACTATCCACGTGTCAACAGGAGTTGCCATGTATCATCCACCAAGCTCATGTAATCACTTGATTCTACAACCCATCCGAGGAAAAAAGCCGCTTGGTTCTCAACCTTGAGCCTCAAATCTTCGAAGGCATTTCCTACATTCGTCGGATGAATGGTTCTTGAAAGCCTTTCTGCTGGTGTTGGCTCCGAGGCTCTGAGCTAGCAGAGCACGTGCGCCAGGAAGGTGAAGTGGAACGTTGGAATGCTAGACCTTGGCTCGACGCCTATGTACCGCAAGTCACTGCAAGTCCAGGAACCAAACGCAACCCTAAGCTCTGTGCATTAAGTGCGGGACACTGCTGCCACAAACCCTGCCTGCCACGTGAACCATGGCATTTACGCCGGGGCACATCGCCCGAAACGGTGGCATGGCACCAGAATGGAGCCTTTTCAGGGTCCGGACTGGGCTTGAACTGTGTTGTTTGAAGTGAAGGTTGTTGAAGATTGAGCATCTGCATAATCATAAGGAGCGTGCATCGAGAGCATCATTTGTTGGTTGCGACACATGTTGCTGTATTTCGTCTGCTTGATGCCATTGATTTCCACTGCGTTCATTGGTCGGGCGTTTCAGTGTTTGTGTCACCGCTATGCTTTGACCTACGGCTGACTGCTGACCTCTTCATTTGAAGAGTGATGCCTGACTGGAACGTAGGCAGCAGGAGGCAGCAGGAATGTCAGGGTTCCGAGAAACGCTTGTCACTTTGTGCCTACCAACTGCATTGTGCATTGCTCTTGCTGTTCCTTTGGGTCAGTGGTTTGCAGCATAGCAAGTTTTGCATCTCGGAAAGTTTTGCTGTCAGGAATCCACTTGGCTTGATGCAGTAATGTGAGGTTTCATGAATTTGGGATAGGCTGCGTCGCGTGCGAACGAGAACCAAGTGTACAATGCATTACATGTGTATACTGTTATAAATATATGTATATATATATGTATATACATAAAGCTCTTCTCCAAAGCTATCTCAGAGTGGCCAGAGTATTCCAGCAAGCATCTACTCAAAGACCCAAGCCCCCTAAATAAAACCCTGCAAGCCTGGTTTCTCCAAGGTCGTGCCAACCCGGTGCCTGTGCTTATTCGAAAGAGGGCTTTGGTGCCAAAAGAAACGGCTATGTCACGGCCTCCCATCAAATCAGGGGTACTTAAATTTGATTTGGTTTTGACTTCGGGTAGCATGGTGCGTAAGGCTGCGGTTGCCGGAGTCTGGCATGGATCCAGAAAGCATCAGGATCTTGCCTCAGATAATCATTTTTTGAGATACCTTCCCATGGGCTGAATCCTTCAGTTGGTGTCCAAACCACCTAGACCAAGGCGTGGGACACACAATTGCGCTAGCGTCAAGCCTTAGGCCAGAACCAGCTCTGCCTGTCTGCAGCTGCGAATTGCTTCTTGGGGTTTGAAGCCTCTTAATCTTAGTATCTTGCCAGAGGACCTTTGCGCGGAGAAGCGTTCTAGCTTTCGCTGAAGGTCTCCGGCCCTGGAGCTGAAGCCCTGCAGACCTGCAAGCATGCCAGGATAAGTATGCAGGACACTTTCAGTAGAAAATGTAGCAATCTATAGCGAGGCACTTGAAACCATGAACTTTAAAGTAGCTGGGAGGCCGGCATGCCTGGAGTCGCTGCCTGAAAAGCCCCCAAAAACCTAGAAGCTCTTTGCAACGTGCACCCCGCAGCAGCTCAATTCAAGGCGACTCATTCTCCAAATGTCTCATCCTCCCCTGCCTGCGAGGAGCAGTGCCCTGTCAGCGAATCAGGACCAAAGAGGTCATGTCAGGATATATATCTCTAAAAAAGAGAGAGAGAGAGAGAGATATATATATATATTTGTATATCTTGACATATGTATATCTTTGTGTATATGTGGGGAGAGAGAGAGAACATACATATACATATATACATATACAGTATGTCTACATCGACACTATAGATTTGTATATATATATATATACATATGTGGAGGGGCTTCTCAAGACTATCTCACAGTTTTTAGGCATTTCCTTCTGCAAGCACAGCATGACTTTGTGGAATTCGAGTGGTGCAAACCTAACCCTAACTGTTAGCTTGTGGACTCACCCAACCCAAATGCAAACTTTTAGATTTCAGTATCATAAGTCCAAGGCCTTTGAAATGGCCCTAACCACGCATCCATGAACCAAGGCCCGAGCTGACGCCTCAAGCAATGAGTTTGAGTGACAATTTGCAACCGAGCTGCAAGATGTCGCGGTGCTTAGTGCGAGGGGTTTTGCAGGTTCTTATTTGGAGGAACGATGCATCAGGAGGCGTAGATCTAAGATTAAGACCCTTTTCTCCTGAACTTTCAGAACAATCATATACATCATGATAAGCAGCAGTACTCATGTATGTATTATCATGTACTGTTCAGTTTTGTTAGATTCCATCTCAGGCAGAGGTGGGGCATACCCAGGCAGCTTGACATGGACACTGTGAATCCGTCCCAGGAGAAGACTTTTGCAGAGTCAAGCTGCAACTGTAAGGATGTTAGATCTCGGTGTCCCTGTTTGGCACCAGAATTTCCAGGTCAAGCTACGGTAGAAAGCATTTGCCTTGGATAAGAGCATGCATAAAAGATGTCCGGGTAGATTTGACTCGGATTGTTGGCAATATCTCGGACAGGACTGGCCAGCGGTGGCGGACACAGTTACCATCAAGCGGCTCTGCTTGAGCTCAAGCAGGGACCAGGTGATTCAGGATTCAGGAAGATAGATACTCGGAGGTTGGGCACGAGTTCTATGCCAATTTAGGTTTCAAGTTCGTCTGAGTCTAGGTTCTAGCTGGGAGTTGTGTGGAGCCAGTTGCCACACTTTTTCGGGTGTCCTGGTACTGTGGGACCTGTACTCAGGGCAATGTTCGGCTTTGTCACAAGCTTGCAAGAATTTGCAAGACTAAGCTTCCGAAAGTGGCTTCTTTTGGACTTGCTCGATTCAAGGGGCAACGAGACAGGTGGTGGATGGCTCGAATGTAACAAGTTTTGGGTGGTATAAGGTCAAGTCTTGCATTCTTTTTCTCTAGCCACGTGTGAAGGGCTTGTTTCCTGGGGATTCCTACCGCAGGAACATACCTTGCCGCTGCCGTGCCCAGGACCATGGGTGATGAGGGTCTCAAGCCTTCAGTTGCCATCATCTATGGAATTGGAACTATGGAAACTAGCAGTGTCTCTTTGCCTGTTAAGCGTTCAACAATGTAGACGGCAAGTGCGAAGGGATCCCGGTCTTTGGAGTGCTTTTTCTTGAGGATTGTGATGGAGGGGTGGCAGCCCATCCTTGGGACATCATTGATATCCGTGTGCTGCCACCTTGAGCTTGGAGTGTGTCTTTACTAGTTATAGGAAACGTCGTGGGTTCAGATCACAAGGCCATGTG